GGGTTCGGCGACGGAGAAGAGCGATTGGCTGCTGGTCGACTTGACGGTGGCGCGAGGCGCGGCGACGGCGACGGCGTCGGCGACGGCGACGGCGAACGAGAGCTGGTCGAGCCGGTGCATGGCGGCGCAGGCGCGACGCAACTGCAGCCCGACGACCAGCCGGTCGAGGCAGAGGCTGACGACGACGACGAGCACGCCGAGCTGAAGGCAGAGGTGGCCGGTCTGGTAGGCCGCGTAGACGTTGGGCAAAAGGGCGAGACGGCGAGGCGCGCCGGGCGCCGCGAGGCCGTCGGGCCGCGTCGCCGCGTCGAGGTAGGCCCAGAAGAGGCCGGGCAGCAGAACGGACGCCAAGTGCAACAGCGCCAGCACCAGCAGCAACCGGTCCAGCTGGTTGTGGCGCCGCGTCGCCGTCGCCGTCGCCGTCGCCATCGGCCCCGGCAACGCCGGCCGGCCCGGCGAGCAGACGAGCCGGCCCGAGGCAAACAAACTGAGCACCAACAGCCCGTTGCCAAGGAGAATGAAGACGTCACAGACGAGCGAGAGGCCGAGCGCCGTCTGTCGGAAACCGGCCTCCTCCAGCAGATAGTCGCGGGTCAGGCTGACGCCGGATCCGCGACTCATCGACGCGCAGGTCGGCGCCAACAAGGCCTCGCCGTCGCCGTTGCCATCGCCGTTGCCGTTGCCGTCGCCGTCGCCGTCGGCATCGAGGACTCGGCCGCCGGCGAGCTGAGCGAATTGGGCGAGCTCGGCAAAGGCACCGGTCGCGTTGCCAAGTGGCGCGAGGAAGTGGAAACTGGTCGGCCAGAACAACTCCAGCTTGGGCATGTTGACCCAGCGAATGACCACAAGGTCTACCGACGGACCGACGGCATCGTCTGGTCAGAAGAGGTCGGCCAATCGGGCAGCAGCTTGCGGCAGCCAATCGCAAAGGCGCAGCCTTTTGCCCAAGACACGGTCGCTTTACAGACCGATGTGGACGAGGCTGGACTAACACACGATACCGACTACTCATTACCAAATAAGTAGGTGATACAATTTGCGTTAGTTAAAGTTCACATAATAAAATGCCACAATGGCAGTAAAACGCACGACGCTAATGGATAACAAATAATGAATCAAGTCGGCAGGAGTGTAATACTCAACATGTACACTATCACATTAATAAGCTTGGAAACTTTAACCAATTCTTTGCTAAGAATATGAAAAATAAGTTGGTTTATCATTGTTGAGCCGTCTTTAATTTAATGCGAATGTGTGACCAGTTGTCGGCTGGCTATAATGGCATATTTTTTTCAAGTCGAATGGAAGCCACACTTCTACTTGTCGACATAAACGTATACGATGAGCAATTGGATGTTGATGAGTCGCATAGCATAACATTTTTATGAAGACGAGGAATGAAGAAAGTCGTGCGTCAATCCCACCAAATAGCGAATGTTGACTCCGATCGTTGCGAGAAATTCGCTTTTACCACAACGTTCAAGTTGACGCTGTCCACAAGACCTTCTCCCTCGTTTCTGGGGGAAATGAGCTGCCATGCCTCAAGACGGGCATCGTTATGGCGGGAGCTAATTCTTGCAAAAGCTTCAAGTCATCACAGCATCAAGCAGATTAGCCAGCTATGCCTCACCTACCATATATACTCACAACTAAAAGCGAAACTGTATAGCTGTATATAAGGATATAGAATATTTTAGCTAGTTATTGCACATGTTAGTCGAGGTATATAGACTCGTGAATGCTCGTGTGTATGTTAAATTCTCAAAGACATTGAGCCAATGACCCCGAGAGGGCGACTTAACTGGTTGGTCCAATAATGATTTCAATAACATTCACCCTCATTTAACACTTCTGTTAACCTCATTAACCCAATCAGACATACGGGATTACGCAATCCTAGTCGCTAAACTTTGATGCTCCAGGACTGACGAGTTATGCCATGTTGTTTTGCAACCCAAATACATACTTACAATCCCATCGTCACCACCAGACGTATTTGCAGGATTACGTAATCCCGGTCATGCTTGATTAGTCTTGTTTACCTGGGACTAACATTAGGTTATTTTGTAATTACATTCATAAATAAATAAATACATGCATACATGCATAAAAACATACATACATGCTTACATACATACATACATGTATACATACATGT